TGTGGGCTCACTCCCTGGGAGGCAGTGAGTCACAGGAGCCCCCCACGTGCAGCCCTTCCTGCAGGGCCTGAGTCACCCAACACATGGGGTTGGGGAGGACTGGTGCTCGGTACTGGAGGCGGGCTCTGCTGGGCTAGGGCTACACAGGTACACATGCATGTAGAGACACAGTAGAGCTCACAGGTACCCGTGTGCACACATATGCAGTCACACAAGCACACACAGGTGCACACTCATGGTCAGAGGCACATGTGCGCACACACATGCAGTCACACCTGTGAACACAGACACAGACACAATGCAGAGGCACACACTCGCATACACAGAGACACGAGTACATGGGCACGCGGGTACACACACACACATGGAGCCACACATGTACACACACAGACATCCACCTGCACAAACTCACAAGCACACATGTGTATGTACACGCTATGGATTTAAACTTCCACCGCACACTCATACATGCACACTCACTGGCAGGCACAAACACAAACACACACACGCCACACTAGCAAGGTCACACACTTCCCTTTTATGGGCCCATGGGTCCTGGTGGCCCCTTGCCAGGGGGAGCTCAGGAAGCTGTGTCCCAGCCTGGTTAGGGCAGAAGAAGTGCTGAGACCCCGGGCCCTCTGGGACAGCCCTTAACCTGCCCCAGGTGCATGGGCTGCATGCCGCCCCTCTGCCCCAACGCTGTCAGATGCCCAGCAGTGGCCTTCTCTCAGTGCCCTGGCACCCCACCCTCCCCTCAACTTGCCCTAGCTAGAGAGGCCGCCAGGGATCCTGGGGGTGGCCTCAGGGCCAGCACTTCCCGGTGACTTCAGAGCCAAGACAAAGCTTTCAAAGCTGGCCGTGGCACCTGTGCTGGGCAGGGACTCTGCAGCTCCCTCTGGCCGGTCTTTGCTTCCCCCTGACAGCCTGGGCTCCTCCCGCACCTGCCTCAAGGCCTTGTGTCTGCTCTCCCTCCACTGCATCCCCTCTCCAGACGTCGGCAAAGTGGCCGTGGTGTCTCCCCGGACCCACGTCTGTCACATTGCCATGCCAGGTGGTGTCTTGGGCCCTGCCCTCTGCCATGCAAGGGTAAGTCCTGGGTAGCAGGCAGTGGGTGGTGGTGGAGGGCTGCAGCCAGGGGCCCAGGGGGTTGGAGCAAACCCTGCCCAGCCTGGCCTGGTCACTGGGTCCTAGGACAGAGCACTGCACGGGAGCAGGCCCAGACACCTGACAGCAGTGCCTCCCACACTCCGCTGGCCTGGGGGTTGGGGCGGTGCACAGGGACCTCAAAGCCAGTGCACACAGTGGTGTTGCATTGAGCCAGCCTGATGCCACGGAGCCTGGACAAAGCTTTCAGAGCTGGGCTCAGCAGCAGTGACCATGGGCCTGGCACGGCCCCATCACACGCTGGGCCTGGGGTGCCTCAGGTTCTTGGATGGTCCCGCCTGGTGGTGAGAACCAGAGGCCAGGCCACAGCCAGCCCAGCTCCCTGAGTCTCACCGGAAGGTGGAGCCCCAGGTTTGTCCACCCCAGGACACCTCCCCTCCTTGGCTGGGCCCTTGACCTTCCTGAGCCTGTTTTCCTGACCTGGCTCAGTCATTGCTCGGTAGAGATGACTCCCTTGAGGGAGGCCCCTGACTGTTCACCCAGGAGCAAAGCCCCCAGCTGACTGTGGCGCACAGCCCTCTGGGAGGGGCTTCTTGCAGGTGCCTGTGACTGAGCTCCAGGGCCAGCCCTGCCTGCTCTACCTGGGCCTCCCTGCCTGACTGCCAGGAACCTCAGGGTAGGAGAGCTCTCGGTTGTGTAATTGACCTCTCCTGGAAGCCACATGCTGCAGCTGCAACCCACCCGTTTCTGCAGATAGGAGAGACTCACTGGGCACCCCAGGGCCCTGGACCCCTCAGCCTCAGCCAGGTGTCAGGGTGGAGAGGCCCCCAGGCTCCTGTCTGCCTCCTTGGCTGAGCCCACTCCCCCAGCAGTTGCTCCATGACACCTTCACAGTGACCCCAGGAGCCCCCTGCAGTTCCACGCAGAGGCCCCGTGTGTCTCAGGCTAGGGTGTTCAGCTGCAAGTTCCCTCTTTCTGCACTGCTCCTCCCAGGCGCCGAGTGGTGCCAGCAGCTATAGCCTGGCACAGGGAGGCCATGTGTGGGTCACCGTGACCCAGGCTGGGCCTGTGCCCGGCTCCTCACTCCTGCCTGACAGCTCCGTGTGGTGAGCTGTGAGCTTGCAGCTGTGCCCTGTGCTTCCTCTGGTGCCTGCTAAGGTCAAGGTTCCAGGGGTCCATCAAAGCCCTGCCAAGGTTTCGTTTCTGGAGCTGTCTTCACAAGGCCCCCATGCAGGAGGTCGGTTCTGGAAGCAGTGTCCCTCCTGGCTCCTCTGAGACACTGTGTTGGCCATGGGCCTGGTCGGTGACAAAGCCAGCAGGGGAGGACACTGTGGTGGGAAGAAGAGTGGCCCGAGCCGAGCTTTGCCACTTCGAGGGCACTGGGCTTTGGCCCATTTTGTGACTCAGCAAAGAGCAATTTCCCACCCCCATGGCAAAGGACTGTGCCTGTCCAGGGTCCCTCAAGAGCAGAGGTTTCCAGAACTTGAATGAAAGACACCTTTAGATACAAAATCAGCAAAACTGGCTGAAGACACGGTATTAGGCTCCATGGAGATAGGGTCTTGCCCAGCAGGGAAGAGTCGAGAGCCACAGACTTGGTGTAAGGAAAGCAGTGAGGATGCACACCTTCCAGGGGCAGGGGCAGGGGACAGACGGAAGAAGGAAACCAGGAAGCCTAACCCTGAGGAGGCAGGACAGGGCTGAGGTCACCCCAACCTCTACTCCAGCCCCTCACACCCACATGGCCGGGGACGGTCAGGGTTTCATTCTGGCCCAAGAGGCTCTACAAACTGCAAAACGCAGCCTGCACAGGGTGTCAGCCCTCTGCCGGGGGTGCCACTGTGAGTCCTGTAGGCATCCGTGCAGGGGCACACAGGTCACTTGACCTCAGTGGCCAAGGGGTGATGCTACCCTGGCAGAACGCAGTCTGTGGAGGGGGTGCTGAGCACCTCCAGTCATACTCCACCCAGGAGCCTCAAGACTGAACCAGATCCTGCTGGCCCCCAGGCCTTCTGGAGGTACAGGGGTGCTTGCGGGCAGAGTTGGTGTGCCAGACACAGTCCAGGGAGCAGGCCCCCCAAAGGCGGGCAGGCTGGAGAGTCCAGGACAGCAGTATATAAGGTGCCTTGAGAGGAGCTGCTTAGGGCTATGGGAACCCCGGTACCTTCCTGTCTCTGCCCACTTCCAGCTCTGATGTCCTGTGGCACCATGGCCTGAAAGGAGCCAAGCCACCATGATGACACTCAAGTCACTGAGCCAAAATAAACCCTCCTCTCCGTTGGTATGTCAGGCATATTATCACGACGCAGAGCTGACAGCATGCGTTCCTGGCATCTCGACTCAAAATCCAGCTCTGGAGTTCCACCTGTTTCCAGACCTGGGACTTCTCTGGACTCATAGCTGGGGTACCCCACAGCTACCATGTCCCCATGGAAGGACCTGGGCTGGCCAGGTGGGCTGTGCCCAAGGCCCCCTAGCCTGCCATCCTAGGCATTGAGGCTCCAGCATCCTGCGCCCATTCAGAGTCCTGGCCCTACTTCCACCCCTGGGCCCCAGCACCTTTTGATCCTGGGGGCACGCCAGGAGGCGGTCATCATACCCTGGCATCTTCCCAACATTCCTGCCTCATGGGCCTCAGTATCTCCATGGGCAGCACGGGTGGAGTGCCATTGCCTGGAGGAGCTGAGGGGTAGCCCCACGCTGGGTTGTGCTGGCCGATAGAGCAAGAAAAGGGCTATGGGGGACAGGTGTTAAGATAGACCCCCCTCCCTTTTCCCACGGGGTCCGGCTGAATGGGCTCCACATACTCCAGCACATTCCTACAGGGCATGAAAATGCCAGGAACCCCACCTGCTCATAGGGCTGAGCCCATGTCCACACACCACACCCAAGTTCATCATCCCCATGGCTCAGAATCCCTTGAACCTGCTGATGGCCACCCAGCCATCCTGGGCACTCTGCCTGAACTTTGTCCGCCCCCCAACCCCTGTATACCTAGACCAGGGTGCCAGAGCCGCAGGCAACACTGCCTCAGTGAAGCGCAGTGCTCCTGGACCTGCCCTTGGTTCACTAGGTAGTGCTGACTGTTCCAGAAAGGCCTTCCTGCAGACCAGATGCTCAAGCTTTGCCTAGGGCAGTGGGAAGACATGGGCCCTGGGCACAGCTGCCCAGTGCCTCTGCTCTCACTGGCAGAGGTCAAGGACCCCAGGGCTTACACCCCACCTCTTGGTGCACACACGTGGGAGCCTCTGTTCCCCTCCTGACCTCTGCAGTGTCTCAGTGCCACCCTCTGAACATTTTGAACCCCAAAGAGCCACCATGTTCCTGCTGTTGGGCTCCCAATGAACCCAGGCTGAGACTAGGTGACTCAGCATGAGCGGGAGGGTGGCCTCCCAGGGCTTAACGCAGCCCTATTAAAGATGAACTCAGTGTGATCACTGATGGGCAGGTGGATGGATGTGGGGAAGGCGGCCAGGGGAGGGGATGCAGGGATGGGCAGGAGGCTGGGTTGACAGGAGAGGGGACCTGGACCTCACTGCTAGCATTCAGGAAAAAAACCTGGCCCATGCGCCGGGCCAGCCGCGAGATCCCTGTCACTGGGTGGGTACAAAGACCTCGCTGCTGTGATACTCTGCCCTCCTCAGGGTGAAAGTGCCAGTGAGGCTCTGCCAGAGTCCAGTCCTAGCCATGGAGCTGCTGCCCACCCACTGACCTGTCTGGTATGCAAGGTGGGCACAGTGGAGTCAGGACTAGCCATCTAGGCAGGCTGTTCCCTTGTGCCCACCCACTCCCCACAGCCCTCTGCTCTCCCAGGGCGAGGTCCCACAGGAAACACACAAGATACCTATGGACCTGAACTCCAGAAGAAAAGACACCTGTTATATACAAAAGAATTTAATTGAAATACCTGTATAAAAAATATGATCTCCAGACATCTCACTGTTGAACTGAAAGAACCCCCCACTCCCGATGCCTACTCACACCGGGGACACAGAAACACAGCCACTAAAATAAATTAAGGGCTTGAGACTCTGTCTTCCACCCCCAACTTTCAGAGCCAGCAAGCAGACTGTACACTGTCAATAATTTAAAACCCACCCTCAGCGCAGAGTGCCCAGGGTAGGGATCACCCACTCCCCTTAAATTAACCACTGTACAATTCTTCCTCCCAAAGAGATGGGGTGGGGGACCTGCTCCAGGGCAGGGATGAGGACCTGGGTCCTGGTCAAACAGCCCCCCTCTCCTCTCCTCAGGCCCCAGAGGCCTGAGGCAGGGCTGCTTGGAGAAGGAAGTAACCTCAACAAATAAATTAAACAATAAATAGCCCCAATGGGCGGGGCGCTCCAAGGAATCACATCATAAATAAGACGATAGCGTGAGGACACAGCTCTTGAGGCATGGGTGGGCCGGCAGAGGCCCAACTTGCATTGCTTGTGCGTGGGCATGCCCGGAGGACACCGTGAAAGGGCAGGAGGTGGGCACAATGGGTACTCCAGGCCAGACAAGGTCACACGGGAAGGCTGCCTCCTGGACCCAGCAGCACTGCAGGGGTCTCTGGTTCAAGTATCCACCCAATGCAGGTGGGACCTCGCTTTGCCCAGAGCAGTCTTTGGACAGAAGAGCTCGAGAAAACCCAGTCCTATGGAGCAGCGTTCAAAAAGGCACTCAAAGCAAAGGAAACAGGCCCGGTGCCAAGGGCAGAGGTCACCAGGAGTCAGAGGTCACTGCTGTGCAAGAAGAATCAGGCAGCAGAAGTCTGTATTCCAGGGAGCCCAGTCCCTCCTCACAAGCTCTCACTGCTAGACGTGGTACTGGTCCCATCTTCAGCATCCAGAACACAAAGCCGAAGGTCACAACTCTCAGGAGCGCCTCCCTCTGCCCCAAGCATCCAGGGATGGGCTGCGATCTGGTCCAGGGAGGGCCGTTCTGAGGGCCGCAGGGACAGACACCACTCAATGAGCTGCTGGCACTCTGTGGAGAGAGGAGTGTCAGGGAGAGCCCTGGCCCCCAGGGCGCTGCCTGCTCCTGAGAAGACCCTCCCTCAGGTACCTGGGGAGATCCTCCTCCGGAAGAACAGGCGGCCCCGTAGGATCTCCTCATCCCGCTCAAAGGGGATGTCACCGCACACCATGTCGTAGAGCAGCACGCCCAGGGACCATACGGTGGCTGAACGTCCGTGGTAGCGGTGGTAGCGAATCCACTCTGGAGGGCTGTACACCCGAGTTCCTAAAGGTACACAGGATAATCAAGATTGTGTACTCCAAATCATTAACTTCTGCCTGGCTAGCCTCAAAATCCTGCTTGTCATCACCCTGGAAAAACCCCAGCGCCAGCAGGGCAGGGCGGCAGGGAAGCAAAAGCGGTCACATGAGCCAAAGCTCGGGTTTCACAACAAACAGATGCGACATAGGGCCACCAAGTCCCCCCCTCCACTCCACCCGAGACAGAGAAAGGGAGGGGGCGGCAGGAAGCCCCGGCTTCCCCAGCTCTGCAATGCGGGGATCTCTGCCTCGCATGCACTACGCGTGCGCGCGCGCGCGCGCGCGAGCACACACACACACACACACACACACACACACACGCGCAAGCGGGCAGGGGCGTCCCCGACCCGGCCCTGCGTCACGCGGGCTTCCCGCACCTATCTCGCCCCGCCCGCACTGCGTACCGTCGAAGTCGGTGTAGACAGTGTCCTTGAGCAGCGCGCCTGAGCCGAAGTCGATGAGCTTGAGTTCGCCCGCGCGCAGATCCACCAGCAGGTTCTCGTCCTTGATGTCGCGGTGCACCACCCCGCAGGCGTGGCAGTGGCGCACGGCAGCCAGCACCTGCGCGAAGAAGCGGCGCGCCAGCGGCTCGTCCAGAGCGCCACGCTCCGTGATGAAGTCGAAGAGGT